GGTAGGTAAGTTCGTGAATAAAAATTTAAAAAGCTGTAACAGTGTGAAAAATATTCGCAATCTTGCAGCAGTTTGCAGAGTTTGAAAAATCGCGAGTCCGCTAAATCGGCTTTTCAAAAATTACGAGGTTTATACACTAACTCGGATCTTCAAAATGTGGTCAGTTTTACTGGTGTTCTGGAGATGACACTTTTCTTCTCAGTCAAACAGGTCTGAGGTCTGAGGACAGGTCTGAGGAGAAAGAGGACAGGTCTGAGGAGAAAGAGGACAGGTCTGAGGAGAAAGAAGAAGAGGCAAGAACTATGACACAAACGTGGTGTGGCGTTATTGCCTGTACCGACGAGGACATCCAGGACGCCTGGTTGCGCATCCGTATAAGACAGCAAATTTTGTTCGACCTTCACCAGGTTGTTAGTGTGTCTATCTGGAGGCCATTAAACCCCAGAAAACTCACGGCTAATTTAATCGATTTTGCCCCCAGGAAGCCGGCACTGTGTTCGGTTACCAAATGTTGGTGTATGTGTTGGTTATCATCGTCCAGTCGGCGCTGCGTTGTTCCCACAGTCTGCGCGCCGCCATCACTTCGGCGAACCCCTCGTGGCTGGACATGGTGAAGGCTGGCGAGAGCGCCGTCAACACCCTCTACTTTGTGTATTACTGTGCTGTTCTCCAGCGAGTTAAGAGCGAGGTACCTCCTGTCTTGTTTGCTCTGAACATATGCATGGTGTTTAGCCACGAACGTTGCTATCCCCTTTTCTTTCAGTTCATCAGAATGTGCGCTGATATGCAGGCACGCCTCACCACTTCAGTTAGAGCTGGACGCGCGAAGCACGAGGTAGGCGTGCATGTTTGGTTTGTGGCGTGTGTTTTGTATGGAACTTAATCACTAGTAGCTAGTACACTAGTAGCTACTCTACTAATATAAGCAGCTGCGGAATAATTGTTCTGTTTGCAGGTTCAGCGGCTGCTCGGTCAAATCAGAGACCAGGGAAAAATGGGAGACGTCCTCGGTTTGTTTTACGTTGACGGCTGTCTCATGAAATCTGTGATCGGGGCGATTGGCACTTACGTATTTGTGTTGAACCAATTTGGAATAACGGTAGAGTAACTTGGCCTATTTCGGATCAGCCCCTAATTCGGGTCACCTCCTCTCAATCCGAATCTTGAATCATTTTTTTTGGTGAAAGTTCGGCTCGTTGTAAAAACCCTCGTCTTTGTCCGGGACTTTGCCGTCTGCTGAGACATATTTCGGCACGCGTCAAGGGTGGCCGCATGCGTGGAGCGAATGCACGGGTGCGGTCGGTGAGCAGGCCGGCGGCAGGGATCCCCGCCTCGGCGCCTGGTCCCACGGGCTGAGGAGGGCGGTACTATGGGCGCGACCTCCACAAATTTGGTGCGTACCGGCGGACTAACGGGATCACGCTAACCGAGGGCAACCGCGCCGGGCGCTGCGCGGCCGAGCCACCCAAAATATTCCCAGTAAAGGCCGCGCTGGGCGCGCTTGCCGTTTCGGCAGCTCTGCTGGGGCAGAGCAACGACCGGAGGCGACTGCGCGCGACGCCGACGCCGTCAGGTTCGACGCCTCTGGCTAGGCCCCTGCTGCCCCCGCAGAGTGAGTATTCATTTTTTTGAAACGTGCGCAGTGCAATGGTTGCACCTTTTCGAGTCACTCGGTACCAAATTTGTGAGTGTCGCGCTCATATAGTACCGTCCTGAACCCATGGACCGGGCGCCGAGGCCGAGGCGGGCACAGCACCCTCTCCATAAGACTCGAAGGTTTGCCCTTCCCCTCTCTCTTCTCCCTCTCCCCCTTGGCGCTCGCCAACCAAACACCACCCGGCCGTCGCGAGGTCGCGCCCACCGAGTCCCGGGTAGGCAACACGCCCTACTCGGGCGTACTGTACCCGGCGCGCTCGCCTGCTTGTGTTGCGCAGTTGCTGAAGTCATGCGTGGGGCTTACATGCCCCCGCCCCCTCCCCTCTACGTTAGAGTCCGATAAATAAAGTGCGAGACTGCTACACGTTAGATAAAGTGGGGCAACTTCCAAGCAGTCAATAACATTTGACAGGAAAGCACCATAATTTTTCTTATAATTTGGCATGGGATTTCGACAACCTTTTTTTCTTGACGATCGCCACCAAACATTGCGAAGAAGTGGGTCGCGGGTAGCGTCGTGGTAGAGGTGGCGCCAAGGTCCGCTTCAAGGCTCTTCTCGTTTGAAAAACGGTGCAGCTATGACTACAGCCTAGGGTGTATCGTGGTCTCCGTCAGAAAACATCCAATACGCTTTGGATTTGATTCTGTTCCCATGTCAAAAGAGAATTGCAACCGAAATAAGCCGTAAGGCAGCACCGGCACCTTGGGGATGGTCCAATTTACTGGCTCCTCATCAGCGTAGTAGACGTCCTGCCAAATACAAAATATTCTCTGCTTAGGGCGAGGAATGACAATGATGCGCTGTGTTTCTTTTCTGCGGGACTTTAGGGAATACTTTCAGTCGTGATTCAACACTAAACTCACCTTTGGAATGACACAGGGTTTTCCACCTTTCTGGTAGTCATCCGGGTCGAGGTGATATATGTTTCTAGTGAAGCCGGGAAAGTAGTCCATCAAGGATCGGCAACATCCAATGGCAAACTTTAAAACCAATGCGTTCTCCTTCCACTGGTTATTGCTTCTGGTTGCAAATCGTAGTATTGACTGGGTGGCAAAGTTTGGCAATGAAGAAAAAATATCCCCCCGGTACAGAATTTGATACCCTTAAACGGGTAAATTATTAACATTCTAGTAACCTTCATTTATATACCACATACCGCGCCTTTGTTGGTCAGCTCCTCGTCGACGGTAACATTCCCGGTGAGTCTCTGCAGCATCTTTTGCGAATCTATTGATGGATGTCGGAATTGAGTGATCAGTAGATTGAACCGAACTATGTCCCCTACCCGCCCTCCCGGGCATTGGTTGATTGGACCCAAAGTAGCGATCCAAGGACCCTGCGAAGAAGAAGAGTGGCACCAGACTGCGACTTTGTTCCTTCGTTTCCACACAAAATAATGTGTCGAGCTTTTGTACCGCCCCTCACCGCAAACGAGTTGATCCACTTGGTGGCAGGCTCGACCTGGTGGCTGGTCAGCTTGCTGGTGAGCAGCACCACGATGGCCAGCAGCAGCATGTTTGAGGTCAGCCCGGTTCGGCGGTCGCACTGCGAGTCCTCCCGGTCCTCCTCACGACCCGCGCTCCAGAGTGCTGCACCTGGCTGCACCGGGCGGCAGGAGCCCTGCACCGGCTGGGCATCGGTCGCCCGCGTGGCGTCCGAAGACGGAGGTGGGAGTGAGAGGGTCGCTCCTGGCCATAGCTCCCTCTCACTCCCATTCGCGCTTCGGACGGCAGGATCACCCGGTGCAGGGCTCTGCGGGCGGGACGGCGTTCACGGCTCGGGCCGGACTCAGACTGTGACGTCACAGTTAACGCACACAGGGGTCGCAGCCGTTTTGCCCTGCTGAAGCGAATAAGCACCCTGGCCAGCACGCATGCAGTCGCGCGGACCTACAACTTCAGCCCCTGCAAAGGGACAGGGAGCGCCTGATGCGTAGGCAACGTCTCGCCTGCAGTGCGCGCGTGTACCGCGGGCTGGCCTACCCCGAGTCTCGCAGGCGCCAAGCTTAAATAATTTTTCAAAAAAATTGAGAAAAAAACGGGCATACACTTTCTGACGTCCCTGTTTGCGGCCAAATAAATGTTGGGCCACAAACGCGGCGGCCCGAGTCAGCCTAATCCGATCCGACTGGTGAATATCTTTTTTTTCGGATCCAGAGTGTAAACAGAAGCCAAGCAGGACCTGCTCTGTACGTCGGCACATAATTCCTGACAAACCGAAAGGGTACGGACGTAACTAAACAAACAGAGCTAACTCGCCCACTGATTGCCTATCTCCCGGGGCCAACAGCCGCAACTCTCGCCCGGCGTGCCCTGCTCCAGCCACACAGCCCGTTTTGTAGCTAGGCAGTTGTACTTACAATCGCCACGGCCGCATGCAGTTGCATCCGAGCCGAAACCGTCGGCCCTGAGATCGACTCCCGCCCAGGGCAAACACCCTTTTATATTTTTGCCGCTCACGTCCCTGTTTGTAGCTACACGATTGTAGCTACAGCCGACAGTGCCCGAGTCAGCTTAAACCGAACCGTCTATAGACGAATTCATTACTTCCGCCAATGCTAGAATATCAACCAGAAGTAAACAGCGCCAAGAACTAAGCGAAAGCGAAAGATATCAATGCCTCTCCGAAGCTGTCGCCTTGTCCAAGAAGCGCTCGGAGGGACAGGGGGGCCGCGGGCGCGGGGGCTCGCGGCAGGAAAGCATTGCCTACCCTCCAGGCGTTTTCAGCGACAATCATCGACCCACGCCCAGATCGACACGGCGTCACTTCTTAGGTTTAGAAAGGATTTATGAGCCTGGGGTCAAAACGAGCCTAAACCCAAAGTCTCCGTCACGACAGACGCCTTAGAGAGAAGCCGTGGCCTACCTCGCAGGCGTCCAAGCGACAACTCGTGTCGCGGCGACAAGTGGTAGTTGACACGTCCCTGTTCATGGACACAAAAATGTGGTCACAAAAGGGGGAAACATACGATGTCCGACGCCACCAGCCACACACCCCTTTTGTAGTTAAACAGTTGTAGCTACAGTCGACATGACCGCATGCAGCTTCATCC